CCTCCCTGAACCCCCCTCTTGCCCCGCCCTGCCCATCTCTTTGCCCCGCCCCACCCCGCCCTGTCTCTTTGCCCCGCCTCCATTTCCTGACTAGGAAGCGCCTTACAGCTGCCAGAGGTCTCGAAGCACGTCATGGCGTCGGGCGGAGTCATCGGAGAGACCCTGGGTGGGCCTCGGGTACTGGTGGTGGGCGGCGGCATCGCGGGGCTGGGTGCGGCTCAGAGGCTGTGCCGTAACCCTGCTGCCCCCAACCTGCGCATCCTGGAAGCCACGGCCCGTTCCGGGGGCCGCATCCGCTCGGAGCGTGGCTTTGGTAACTGCCCTGACCCGTTCCCAGAGCCCAAAGTGCTGCGCCCAAACCGAGCAGTTCTCTTTCCCGGAAGCCTAATCCACCTCTCCGAGTGAAGGCCGCCCCACGTAGTCCAGGCTTTCTGGGCCCCAAAACTCAGTTGCTCCAACTTAGGTGCCTGTAGGGGAAGGAGCCAAGGTCCCGGCCTAGTGCCCCTCTCCCACAAAGACCTGGGGACCCTTAGGTATCCCTTCTCCCCTAAGCTCTTCCTACAAGAGCCCTCCCTTGGCAGGTCTGGGCCAGCACTGTCTCCCCGGGAGTTTAAAGCAATTCTGTGGGGGCCCTGCTTTTGGGACTACTTGGTATTCAGGGACAGTATCAGGTGGTCCTTGGGGCTGGCTTAGCCTTCCAGCTGGTCTTGGGCAGGACACTTGGGAAGGGCAGTACAGTGGTCCAGAAGGGCTGGAGTGACCTCTCTGGGGAGAGGACCTCCAGGTGGCATCTTTTTTGCCTTCCCAGGTGGTGTGGTGGAGGTGGGCGCACACTGGATCCATGGGCCTTCCCAGGGCAATCCTGTCTTCCAGCTGGCTGCTGCCTTCGGGCTCCTGGGCGAGAAGGAGTTGTCGGAGGAGAACCAGTCGGTGGATACTGGGGGCCACTTAGCCCTGCCCTCCATGTGCTTCACCAGCTCTGGGACAAGGGTGAGCCTTGAGCTGGTGGCAGAGATGGCCAGTCTGTTCTATGGGCTGATAGACCAGACCCGAGAGTTCCTGCATGTGGCTGAGACCCCAGTGCCCAGTGTCGGGGAGTACCTCAAGAAGGAGATCAGCCAGCAGGTGGCCCACTGGACAGAGGATGAGGAGACCAAGAAGCTCAAGCTGGCCATCCTGAACGCCTTCTTCAGTGTGGAGTGCTGCATAAGTGGCACCCATAGCATGGATCTGGTAGCTCTTGCCCCCTTTGGGGAGTACACTGTGCTGCCAGGGCTGGACTGCACCTTCTCTGGGTATGGGACCAGGCCCTGCCTGCCGTAGAGCCCTCTGTGTACCTCAGGGCCAAGGGGCTGTCTGGGCTCTGCCATCTGACTTTGGGAGGCAGAGAAAGCGGGTGGGGAGTGACAGGAAATGTTGCACTTCTCATTCAGATAAATTGGTTGCTCTCTTATAGTTTGCTCATTTATGCAAAAAAGAATTATTTTTAAAGAAGTGATTGGGAAAGGAAAGTTTTCTTTGAATGCCTCTCCTTTCTGTATTTCCTGAAGCCTTGGACAGGTCAAGTGTTAGGTGAGGGGTTTCAGACTGGCTCCTTTCTTGTGGCCTGGTGCTTCCCAGGCTGTCCCATTGGACTCTCCCAGTTGCAGCCTTTGGCTCCTGCCCAGGGGATGGGCATTTGTGATGCATAAATCTCCAGAAGCAGAACTCAGGTGTGGGTGATGAGGGAGCCACCGTTCTTGTCTGAATGCCTTGACAGTTTTGTGTTCATTAGCTCACTTCATCCTCCCATTAGCCAGGAGGAGGGTATTAACATTCCTGCGATTTAAGGGAAAAACTATAGCATACCCCCACCCTGAACCCGCTCTCTTCCTTGCCGAAGTGATGCTCCCTTTGACATGGGTGGGAATTTGGAGGGCCGATTTTTGCCTATCCTACCCTTCCAGGGATTGGCTCACTAAACTTTAATCAATTTCTGTCTCTCCTAGGGGCTACCAGGGACTCACAAACCACATAATGGGCTCCTTGCCAAAGGACGTGATGGTTTTCAACAAGCCTGTGAAGACTATTCACTGGAACGGGTCCTTCCAGGAGGCAGCATTTCCAGGGGAGACCTTTCCTGTGCTGGTGGAGTGTGATGATGGTGGCCGCTTCCCAGCCCATCATGTCATCGTCACTGTGCCCTTGGGTAGAGCTCACTTTTCTGGTCAGGTTTTCAGTTCCAGTCTTTATCCCAGGAACTCTGGCTTCTCGCTTCATCCAGCTTCAGTAGGTTTTGGGGGCATTTGTTTGGCTGCTAAACTCACATTTTTATTTTGATAATCTCCAGATAGGTGGAAGGAACTATTTTATCAGGTTTCATAGCACTGCACACTTTGGAATCAAGGATTTCACATTAAGGGAAATCACTGCTCATTGGGCAGTAACTCAGTGAGCTTATTGAGAAAGGCTGGGATGACCCCCAGAGATTAGTGTGGTTGCTTTTTCTAGGGGACTGAAAAGGGCACGTAGACCCTGGACTCCAGCTTAGGTCTGCTGGTGATCCATGAGAAAAGCCATAGGTGTAATTCTGTCTAATTCCAGATCTGGTACTTTAGGTTTATATCTGTGAGTAGAAGTTGTCTGGCCATTTGATGACTGGTAGGGATGGTTGATGGGGCAGTTGCCCAGGTAATTGTGGTGGACGGGACATCTGCTTCAGTGGGCTGCGTCACACACAGGGATCGCTGCCTGTGTGATCTTTTTTACTACTCATGGCAGCCTTAACGGGTATCTGTTACTATGCGCTGTTGGACAGTTGTGAGCATCTTTTAGGCAAAGAGAGAAGTCACTTAATTGCCCAAGTCACAGAGTTGGCAAGTGTCATAGGTATGGGAGTCAGGATTTGGTGAGCATGTGAGATAAAAAGGAGTGCCTGCCACCTGGAGTTGGCTGTGGGTCACATTGATATGTATCCTTCTGGAGCCCTGAGCCTGTGTGGCTTTCCACTGCACTGTTGTTTGCACAGATGAATTGCACTACTAGACATATTGGTTCCTGTCTGCCTTAGTGTTTTGTTTTTTTTTCTTCCCTTTCAGTACTAGGGGTTGAATCCATGGCTTTCACTCTGAGCTGCATTCCCAGCCTTTTTTATTTTTTTATTTTGAGACAGGGTCTCACTACATTGCCTACCCAGCCTGGGTTTTGAACTTTGATCTTTTTTTTTAGCCGGGGGGTACCTGGGATTGAACTTGGAACCTTGTACTTGCGAGACAGGCAGCAGCACCACTGAGCTAAATCGCTGGCCCATGAACTTTGATCCTCTTGCTTTAGCTTCCCAAGTGCTGGGATTATAGGTGTGTGCCCAGTTGCCTTGTTGCTGTTGCTGTTTGTTTATTTTTTGCCAGCTCTCTTGTTTTTAATGAAATTTTTGTCAGTGTCTGCAAATCAACACATGGTCTTATTAGTGCTCTTTTTTTTTGGTGGTATTGGGGATCAAACTCAGGTCCTTGCGCTTGCCAGGCAGGTGCTGGAACCACTGACCTAAATCCCCGGCCTCTACATGATTTTATTATTGAGCGTAAAAGTGCCTTTGTTCACTCCTGTTTGCAATTTGTATTCACTGAGCCTATCAAGTGCTGATCCCTGGGGACGTGGGGATAGTTATGACTGCTGTGTTGGTACATTCACAAAGAGCAGTTCTGGGCTTTCATCTGTTCTTACGCCACATGGCATTTTCTTGTAACTAGATGTCATCATTTCATATATATTAGTAAAGGTTTATGGTTCTCAGTTTGCCTGTTTTACCTGGTGCTTTTGCTGGCATTTGAGTGTACTTGTGTCATTAAATCTGAAAGACAGATTCTATTTGTGGGAGTTGTTGGTCAAAGAACTGAACAGGCTGGGCATGGTGGTGCATGCCTGTGATCCCAGCACTTGGGAGGCTGAGGCAGGAGGATTGCTGTGAGTTCGAGACCAGCCTGGGCTATGTAGTGAGTTCCAGGTAGTTTCAACTACATAGTGAGACCCTGTCTCAGAAGAAAAACCAAAAAAAAAAAAAAAAGGATCTGAACAGACTGCCTCTGTGTATGTTCCCATGAACCAATCTCCTGTCTCAACTGCTGCTTGATGACTTTGCTGGTTTGCTGTTAGGTTTTTCTTTATTTTTTTTTCTTTTTATTGAGTTTATTGGTACGTTTTAGGTATACAGTACAGTTACATTCATTATTGGGATCTTATACCTTTACATGACAGGTCTTGGTTCTCATTTTTTTGCTGTTAGGTTTTCTTCCTTTTCTTACTGACTTTCGCAAGTACCTTCAGGAAATTGGCTTTTACCTCAGGTTGCAAATGTTCTTTCCCCACTTTATTGTTGTTTTTCATCTTTTTGTTGGCTAGCTTTGCATTTAATTAATTTATTGCAGTACTGGAGATTGAAACCAGGGAGCTCTACCACTGAGGTACCTAGCCCTTTTTAATTTTTTATTTTGAGATAGGATTTTACTGAGTTGCCTAGGCTGGTTCTAAGCTGTGACCCTCTTGCTTCAGCCTTCTGAGTGCTGGGATTACAGGCATGCAGCACCACACCTAGCTTTATTTATTTTTTTTGTAATGCAAAGTACTCTTCATGTAAGTTTTTAGTGTGCTGGGGATATGGTTCAGTGATAGAGTGTTTGTCTAGCACAGTTTAGCACCACAAAGGAAGAATATCTATCTATCTATCTATCTATCTATCTATCTATCTATCTATCTTCTGGATGAACCCTGTGTATTCAACCACTACTTCAGACTGATCCTGAGCCTTGTGACCTACAGAGTAGAGAGGCAGAGGCTCAGAGTAAACTATCCCTGCAGGGCAGTCTGTGCAAAGTCATTCTAACTGTCCCTGTACAATCAGTGGTGGTGAATGGGCTTGTCATGTCCCTCTGGTGTGGTGCTAGGTGCCCTTGAGTCCTGCTGGCAAACCTTTTCTCTGCAATCCCTGGTCCTGAATGAACACATGGCATGCTTAGAGGCCTCTGTCTCTAACTCCTCTTAGTGGGATCGTGGGATCTAGTTGCTATGGATTCTAGTTTAAAACTAATGCACACCTAATGAATTCCAGGTTTTCTCAAAGAACATCAGGACACCTTCTTTGATCCACCACTGCCTGCTGAGAAGGTGGAAGCAATCAGGAAAATAGGCTTTGGGACCAACAACAAAGTCTTCCTCGAGTTTGAGAAACCCTTCTGGGAGCCACACTGCCAGTTCATCCAGATGGTGTGGGAGGACACATCACCCCTGCAGGACACTGCCTCTGGGCTGCAGGACTCCTGGTTCAAGAAGCTCATTGGGTTTTTGGTTCTACCTTCTTTCAAGTATGTATGTGTCCAGAGACTTTGAGGAAGCCTCAGGCCTACTTGCTAGGGCTCAGTTTGCATGAGATTCAGTTGTGTGTGTTCACGGACATTTTTGAGGCTTTAATGGATAATTGCTGTGGGCTGGACATCCGCTTCATGTGGACCTCGCAGGCATGGATCACTGCCTCTGTTATCTCACTTACTCTTCAGCAGGTGTCTGTCACAACACAAGCCCACAAGATGCTGGCTATAGATAACCTGGGCCTAGTATCCTGCAGGGACAGATGAAGGCTTATTGTATGGAGACTGTCAGTATCTTTAGTGGCCTAGAATGTGCTAGAGGATTTGGAGGAATATTCAATCCATGGGAAAGTACTTATTGGAATTCTGTAGGAAGTTATGGCTTGTAGATAAAGAAGAAATTTAAAATATGGATTGGATCACCAGGGGAGAAAGTACTTGAATGCAAGATGATCCTAAATAATGGAGTCAAAGACCCATGGGTGAAGGGCTCAGCTGAGTAGTCCAGCTGACCTACAAAGCAGCATGTATTGATTGACCAGGGCTGGGGATTGAACCCACAAGCTGCTAATTCAGGAAATACTCTATGCATGATATGTGGATGAGGGACCTGACAAGGTCAGAACACAGCCAGTGTACTGTGGTCAGATGGCAGAGAGAACTCTATATTCTGTTCAGAGATGTGGCTGTGTTCTTAGCCTGAAAGGCAGACAGGGTGGAGGGAGCAGGAGCTGTGGCGTCAGAGCAGCACCCCCTCTGGGAGAAAAGGATCCTGTTGTCTCATTTCACTGAAGAGAAGACCAACTTTCCAGGAGTTTGGAAATGGGCCAGGATTGGAGCAGCCACTGGAACCAGTGACCAGTGGACCCAGCCACCTATTCTAGGCTTGCCTCTGCAGCCTGAGTCTTGGTATTTAGGATATGTTTAAGGACAGAGGCCCTGGGAATACTAACCAGGATGCTGTCTATGGAAGGTCCGTGGTTCTCAAGTTTGTGATTCAGAATCCCTTTTGAAAATGCTTAGGATGGGGCTGGCTGTGGCCCGGTGATGGAGCACTGGCCTAGCATGTCAAAGGCCCTGGGTTCAACTCCCGGCACTGCAAAAAAAAAAAAGCTTTGCATATCAGAGAGCATTTGTTTATGTGGAGTATGTCTGTGTATGTGTGTGAGAAACTAAACCAGCAATTTAAAGATATTTCCTATTTGGGGCAGGGATTTAGCTAAGTGGTTTTGCTGCCTGCCTTACAAGTGTGAAGTCCCGAGTTCAGTCCCAGAACTGAAAAAAAAAAGATATTTCTTATTTAAGATGAAAGTAGTGAATCCATTGCACGTTAGCATACATAATATTTTAAAAGTGAAAGATACTATATTTCCTCAAAACCAATTTAATGAGAAGAGTGATACAGTTTTGACCTTTCTCCAGATCTCTGACGTCTGACCACAGAAAAGAGGTTGGATTCTCAGAATTGATTTTACATTTTTCCTATTGTGGTGTTTTATTTGGTGGAAAGATGAAAAGTTAGAATCAACATAGATACACAGTTGGAAGAAGGTAGTAATATTAAAATAGTTTTTTTTTTTTTTTTTTTTTGGTACCTGTGATCAAACTCTTGTCCTTGGGCTTGTGAGGCAGGTGGTGGCAGAACCACTGAGCTAAATCCCCGGCCCTAAAAAAGTTTTTTAGGTGGTTGTAGATATTCTTTAGGATGACACCAAACTTAAGACATGGTATTCTTATAGGTTGGCCAGATGTGAAATCTAAGGCTGTAGGAATGAGCTTTGTGCTTTGTTCCACTGAAGTCTGTTTGCCTGTCTGGCATGTTGAATGGATCTTTTGCCTATCCTGATTTCTGTCATTCAGGAAGTACTAGTTTGTGCAGTCTTCTATGTTGACATATTTTGCTATGTAATACCAAAAAGTTAAATTTATTAATATCACCACTGATCTCAGAAAAGTCTTTTAGTATCGGGACGCTATTATACTGTTGGTGGGAGATATCAGTTTTCTAAAATTCAAGTTTTTACTTGAGAGTTTAAGTTTCTTTGTCATCAATAAATAATGTTGGCCAATTGATTTTCTGTGAATAACACATGGCTCATTCAGAAAATGTCTGCTAAATACCATGGCTTGTCTGTCAGGCATTGTTTAGGTAGAAATGGTGCCCATGAGGAAACTCATGGCTCAGCTACCCTTGGCAGTCATCACCACCATGTGCAGTAGAAGTGCCTGTCTGTTTCCCATTTCTTCACACAGATTATTGGAAATGGTACTTAAAGGTGAACATTTAATAAAATCAATAACTTTTACTGCTTCATCCTGGGCCTTCTCAAGTGAAACAGGCATTTTTTTTTTCTCTAAGCCACATGTATGGTGGTAAAGAACATGACCCTGCTAGTGTTGTTTGTGTCTCTGCCTCTGTTCTGTGAAGGACAATTTACCTACCTCTGCCCCTCATTGGTGCAAATGGGGATGTAGTGAAGGTGCAAATGCTATGTCAGTGTTGTGAAAAAAGCTTCATACTTTGGAGAACAACGGCCCTGGGTAAGCTTTGAGGCACCACTCTGAGTTGGGGGTCTTGGTGAGGTGATGGCAGAGCTGAGCTCACTGAAGCTCATCTCATTGGTCCTTCTTCCCACACAGGTCTGTGCATGTGCTCTGTGGGTTCATTGCTGGGCTGGAATCTGAGTTTATGGAGACTTTGTCCGATGAAGAAGTACTTCTGTCTCTAACCCAAGTGCTGCGGAAGATGACAGGTACTTATTACAGGAAATCACAACAATATTGCTATTGGCTGATCTCTAAAGAGGATACAAATTTTTCAAAACAAAGAACTAAATTCTGCTACACATCTTCAGCACAACCTTTTCCCATATTATACTAACAGGTTTTTTGTTGTTGTTGTTGTTTTGTATTGGGAATTGAACTTGGGACCTTGCACTTTTGAAGCAGGCAGTGGCACCACAGAGCTAAATCCCTGGTCCAATAACAGTTTGGATTGTCAAGGAAGTATAATGACTTTGAAAATACTTTCTACTAGCTTTCTCTAAAATGTGTCAACAAAATAAATGCAGTTGTCCATAACCAAAGGGTTTCAAATGAAGAAATGAAGCTTAGAAAATCTGTCCAGGCAGCCACAGGTCAATTATGTAAACCAAGTGCCAAGTTCAGTGCTGTTGCCTGTTGATGTCTGTGTTACTCAGTTTTTGGTCACTGTGACAAAATATCTACATAAAATAAACTTAAAGGAAAGACTTATTTTTGCTCAGTTTCAGAGTTTCAGTCCAAAGTTGGCTTATTCCATTACTCTTAGGTCTGGGCCAAGGCAGAACCATTATGACAGACAGGTGGAGGAAAGCCGCTCACCTCTTGGGAGCCAAGAAATAGAGGGAAAGAGCTGAACAGGAAGGGTAAGGGATATTATTTAGTCCCCAAAATCATCTCCATGATTCACTACCTTCACTTAGGTCCCTGTCACTTACGAGTCACTCCCTTCACTTAATGTTCCCATCACCTACCAGTGCCATCCAATTATGATCTTATCAATGGATTAATCCACAGTTAAAGTTAGTCTTCATGATTCAATCACTTTCTGAAAACCCCACCTCTGAATGTATGAGATTTCTAGGGGGCATTTTAGATCTAAACCATAACAGTATCTGCTTGTTCCTGTGCAGTGCACAGTAGAGCAGCTAAGGCAGAAACAGCCTCTTAGGAATTTATTTGGTGGCTTGGTTCTCTTCCGGGCTCCTGTCTTTTTTTTTCCGGTACCAGGGATCAAACTCAGGCCCTTGTGCTTTCGAGGCAGACAGCAGAACTACAAAGCCAAATCCCTGGCCCCTGTCTTTTATCTTAAACTTCTAAGTCTTTTTTTTTTTTTTGAGACATGGTATCACTATGCATTATAGGCTGCTTTGAACTTACTATTTAGCCCAGATTGGCCTAACTCAGTGATCCTCCTGCTCAGCCTCCTGAGTGCTGGGATTACAGGCGTGTGCCACCACACCTGGCTAAACTGCTAAATGTTTAAAAATCTAAACCTGATTGCTGACACATACGTGAGACTTCTGGTTTAATGTGCCATATTTCTGTTTCAGGAAACCCGCAGCTTCCTGCTCCCAAAAGTGTGCTGAGGTCTCGCTGGCACAGTGCCCCATATACTCGGGGATCCTACAGTTATGTGGCCGTGGGCAGCACTGGGGATGACATGGACCTGCTGGCTCAGCCTCTCCCTGAAGACGGCACTGGCCCCCAGGTATGATGGCAGGCCTTGTGTGTGGAGCCCTCTGCAGACACCCCCCTGCTGAGGCAGAAAGGTACTGGAGTCTGAGGAAAAGGTGGTGGATTGGGTCCTCTCAGACTCAGAAGCCATTTTCTTTCCAAAATTAAGAATGATTTAAACATGTATTATTAGTATCAGAATTTTATATACACTTAGCTTAAAGAGCCATTTAATTCTACAATGCTGGTTAACAAAATACAATGAAACAGAAGTCCTATAGCTGGTGGAGGCAGCTGTCTCCTTCCCAGATTTTTCTTCCAACTGATTTTTTTCCCCTTTTATTATGGTGTTGGAGATAGGGCCTTGTGCATGTTAGACAATTGCTTTACCACCAAGTCACAGCCCCAGCCTCACAGCCAATTCTGATCTCTAAATTTACCATCTCTTTAAAGTACAAGCTTATATTATCACTTTAAAAAATTTTATTATGGAAAACATCAAATGTGTACAAAAATAGGTAGAAGTAGTGAGTACCTACCCTGTCTCAGCAGGCTCCTCTTGCTCTCCTCCCTTATTGTTACTGAGTGTGTACATATATTTTGGTACACACCTGTAAAAGCTAAGGACAAGCTTAAAAAATATGTAACTATATTATTGCCACACTTGAAATTAAGAATAACTCCTCGGTTTTATCTAGTATTCAGTGTTCAGTTTTCTAGTCACCACATGATCTCTCTTTTTAGTTTGCTTATTGATCTTATCCATCTTGAATTTTCAGTTTTAGGAGTGAAAGACTGGCTTTTGCCATGGCTCACAAGGTCTAGATTTCTTTCTTTCTTTTTTTTTTTTTTTTCCCTTTACTAGGGATCATTGTGGACA